AAACATCTAAAGGGTGGATGTCTAGAGGAAGAGACTAGATTCTTCTCTATGGTGCCCAGCAACAGGACAAGGGGCAATAGGCACAAACTGGAGCACAGGCAGTTCCATCTCAATATAAGGAAAAACTTCTTCACTTTGAGGGTGACAGAGCGCTGGAACAGGCTGCCCAGAGAGGTTGTGGAGTCTCCTTCTCTGGAGAGATTCAAAATCTGCCTGGACGTCATCCTGTGCAACCTGCTTTAAGTGATCCTGCTCTAGTAGGGAGGTTGGACTAGATGATCTGTAGAGGTCCCTTCCAACCCCTACCAATCCGTGAGTCTGTGAACAAATAAAACAACATTGTGACCATTATGACAACAATGTGATGATTAAACTAATATAACGAATGCTTATAACATTTTTTTTTTTTAACATGCTCTGGTCAGATCTGTTGTTATCTCAACCCTTTGTGCCCCATGTTGGATGCCAGCTTCCCCAGTTGTATCTGGAGTATGACGTTCTATACTAGGGAATATCCCTTTGGCCAGTCTGGGTCAGCTGTCCTGGCTGTGCTCTCCCAGCTTCTTGTGCACCTGGCAGGGCGTGGGAAGCTGGAAAGTCCTTGACTTAGTGTAGACACAACAACTACCTAGCAAAAAACTAAAAACATCAGTGTGTTGTCAACATTATTCTCTACTAGAAAAAAAAACCCAACTCTATCTCAGCTGAAACCAGGACAATGTCCTAGGTGATGGGACAGAGTGCGCACTCAGCAAGTCTCAGATGATATACAAGACTGAGAGGAATGGTTTAGACCAAATGAGTGTGTTGCCTTTCAGATGAACTTGGACAGTCCCTCTCTTTGGATGGAGAAATGGGTTTATGGGAACCCTATGAAGTTCAACAGAAGGGAATACCAAGCCCTGCATCTGGGGAGGAATAACCCCATGTACCACTATAGGCTGAGGAAGAACTCTCTTTGCTGGTTGAGGGATGTGACCTTTCCTCCCTACTGAGCACTGGTGAGGCTACATCTGGAGGGCTGTGTCTGGTCCTGGGCTGCCCGGTACTTATGAAGAGAGGTTGAGAGAGCTGAGATTGTTCAGCCAGGAGGAGATAAATTTCAGGAGGGATGTGTGTGTGTGAGTCTTATCAGTACATACCGATAGGTGTCTGATAAGGGGTGAGTAAAGAAGACAGTGAGACTCTTCTCCGTGGTAGCCAGTGATAGGCTGGGGGGCAATGGGCACAAAGTGAAGTATAGGAAATTCCACTTAAACATAAGAAAACACTTTTTTACTGTGAGGGTGATCAAGCACTGGAACAGCTCGGGTCAGATGGCTATGGAGTCTTTGTCCTTGGAGATGCTCAAAATCCAGCTGCATGAGATGCTGAGCAACCTGCTGTAGTTAACTCTGTTTTGAGTAGGAGGTTGGACTAGATGATCTTCAGAGGTGTCTCAACCTCAATAGCAGCGTGATCCTGTGATCTGAATTCTGAATGACCCCTCACCACTCCTTTCAGATACAGGGAGGGAGGGTTTCTTTACCATATTGACTCTAATGTTAGTTTTATAAATCTTACATAACTGTCAAATACTGTTTTCTTGGTTTTGCCTGATACAAAATATTTGCAACCCTTAATTGGTAAAATAATTTCTTTCTAAATTTGTAAACTAGAATTATTTTTTTAACAGTTTTAAGTGATGCTGTACTGTTTGCTTTGTTTTTCAGCCATTCTTATGTTGGCCCAGATTACAGCGTGCAAAAGAACACTGGAAAAATTTCTCTAGAACAGATCGATGCTGTAAGTCCTCTGTGTTTATTGAGTTGTATTTTGATATGTAACTTTTCAAATTCAAGTACTCTATGTAAAGACAACATATAAAACCTTTATCTTTTTTTGATTCATATTTGCTTTGTAGCTCTTGAGAACTACTCGAATGAAATTGAGATAAAGTTTAAAATGGAGCAGAATTTACTGAAAATGCATCTAATCAGGATTTAGACTGGAACTATAATGAGTTGCTTAATTTGCTGCTTAATTTTGTGTACTTTCACAAATACCTAACATAATTATAACCATAGTTTCACAAAATTTTCTTATTAAATAATTTTGCAACCCATGATGTTTAGTTTATGATTATTGCATTGCAATATTAGTCTTTTCAGTGCTCTTTTTTGGGCTTCTGACTTACAGAAGGGTTTTTCAAACAAGGAAGTAAATAAAATGGATTGTAAAACCACATCAGTGGTGCAGAGACAATTAAAAACACATTATAACTCCTTTATCTGAACTTGAGAAATCATTTGTGCTTTCAGTGTCCATCTTAACCATGACAGTGTTTCTTTGGTAGTGAATTCCGTGGCAAGACTCGGATGTTAAAAATAAAAATGCAAAGCCCAAGTAAACTTGAATGTTACATTTTTTTTTATCTCTGAGATCTTGCTTTATAAGAAATAGTACTCTTCAGGGAAAAAAACCTGCAGATTGGTTGGAATGATTTTACTCCTGCTTGTACTTTTTCAAAGATGTTTTAAAAAAAAAAAAAAATCCCCTCTCCCAACCCCCAAAAAGTCAAAAGAAGGTCACCTCACCATTCCAGAAGCTAAAATAAGGAAGAAGCTAGAAACATTGTAGTGGAACTGTGGATGTATTTTTCCTGACAGCAATTAAACCTGTGTTACTTTTGTAGCTGAAGATAGTCTGAGACTACCACCTGTATTACTCTGTCCTTTGGATTTTGTTCTTGAGATGATTGTTGGATTTGATGGCTTACGGACATACTTGGGTTATCATCAGTCCCAAGGTGCTCTGTACATGCATATCTTTTCTTCCAGCCATTGGCTCCATTAGTGGAGCTAATTAATAATCACAATGAGCATGTATCCTACAAATTTAATGATCAGTACACCTTAAACACCAATTTTTCTCTCAACAGCTTGCTGTGAAATCATTCCCTCTTTGCATGCGCCAGTTGCACAAAGCCCTACGTGATAACCATCACCTCCGTCACGGAGGCCGTATGCAATATGGATTGTTCTTAAAAGGCATCGGCTTGACTCTGGAACAGGCACTGGAATTTTGGAAGAAAGAATTTATTAGAGGAAAAGTTGATGCAGACAAGGTAATTGAAAAAATGAAAAATATCTAAATATGTGAGTATGGGAATGTAGTTAATGTGTACATTGTGCTACATGTTTGGATAGATGCTTGTTAAAGTAGATAATTGAGCAAAAGGCAGAGTGATGTCTTTTAAAGGTGGGGTGGGTTTTTGTCCTCTCTTTGCTTATGATTTTACTCATTTTGTTGGTTGGTCTCCTGAAGCATGGGGAAGAAAGGCAAGCCACAAAGAGGCTTTTTATAGATGAGGACTAGAAAAATCTTACTTTACCACTAAATCACTAGGAAACCAATGTCCTTTGTGAAGTACAGGCACTACGTGACTAAATTAATTCACCAAGTAGGTAAGTAACCACAAACAGTACCATCTGAGAGGCAAGATTAGCCTTTTTTGTTGGGTAATTAAAAAAAAAAATTGGATAGCTGTGTGTGAGGTGAGTTTGTCTTAGCAAATTTACAGTCTAAGAATAAAAGAAGAAACTGGAGGTGAATGAAGACAGAAGAATGTGTTCACGGAAATAGTGAGAAAACGCTGTGAGCAATGAGCAGTATTATTGACGTGTTAGTCAATGGCCTAACCCTTGCTAAGATTTTTGGGAGTATTGTGAGTGAGGAAAGTGTAACATACGTGTGCTGTCTCTTTGAAAGCATGAAAAACATATGCTAATTTTTGGAGATTTGTGACCTGCTCCTTACCTTAAACAATCTAGGTAGAATCAAGCAGGGTTCCTCTCTCAACCATCTCTGCCTTGCCTGCGGTATGTGATAGAGCAGATGTTTCAGACCTTGTATCAGTTTTGTTTGGACTGTGATACTTTGCGTCCAGTATTGTGAGATCTCAGCTTTCCAAAGTACTATGAGGTATTTTGGAGTGCTTGGTAGACAATCTTTCATTGGCTTAGGTTCTCTGAGACATGGCTATTTATACAAAATATGACACAAAAAGTAATGCTGGCTACAATGAATTATGGTAAGTATGTCTCTTTCAAGTCCTGGAAGATAGATCAACTGATCTGCAGATTTTTTTGGGAAGGGGAAAGGGATTTGAAGGTATGCATGAGTACCTAAACCTCTGTAAATCTAGCTCCTTAACTGGGATGTGATTTAAGAGCAGATAGGTTTTTTGTTAAAAAAGAAATCCAAAATGCATTACCTTACAAAGGTTTCAAGAAAGGATTTGAAAAGAAGTAATAAATTTTGAAGTTGAATGCCGATTAATTACTAGCTGAATTCAGGAAAATACAGACTCTTCAGCTGCAATTACCTGTGCTTAAAGAAAATTGAAAGAATAAAAACAAGCTATCATAAACAATAACAATGTAAATATATTCATTTATCATTTCTATTTAAAAAAAAATAAAGAGTGTGAACAGGTCCAATTCCACCTACTTGTGCTTTGATCCTACATGTATGCCCATGTATGAAAACGTATGCACCTTGGATCCTCTTTTCAGTCACAGGGTTATGGCTTTCTAGTATAGCATCTCTCTTGATAGACCCTAGAAATAGCTGAAGTTTTATGGTCCTGTGTTTAGCTTCAAATTTAGAAAGCACATTGTGAACGACGGGGTTGTAGTTACTGCATTTTTCACCAGGAGGCTGCTATTTCCATGTGATTTTCATTCTTCTCAGGTTCTAGATAACTAACTTCAGATTGGAGTAAAAAAAAAAAAAAAAAAGCTGATTTTTCACAACTGTAACTGAAGTCGGTGGCCTGTGGTTTTTCACAGTAAAATATCATATAATGTTTAATGTCCTGAAAAAAATTGAAGATTAATACAATTCTTATTGATACTTTTTTCTTCTGACATTCTTATTTTCTGACACTCATGCCATTGTTCCTTTCCTGTAGAGTGGAGATAATGATACTGTTTTTGTCTTGAAGATATGTGCATGATACTTGCTAAAGACTAAGGTTAATTATTCATTACTGACTGGTGTATTGCAAAGAGGGAGTGTCAATTTGCTGCAAATGGTTATGGTTTCAAAATTTTAAGTTGACGTTTATCTTTAATCGCTGCAACATTTATGCCAGTTCTCAATCCTAAGAATTCTTGGCACGCAA